TCCGTCACGTCGCTTGAGGGGGATACCGCGATTCATCACTGAACCATATGTGCCTCCGGTTTCCCAGGTTCCATGGCTGCACCGTGTTACAACACCTGACTCGCGGACGTTGACGTAATCATGTCAGAGAGGAGGCAACATTTGGACGTCTGGCACACATACCTGCCTCTCGGAGACGGTTCCTGATTGTGTGGTCGGACATTCTCCAGGCTCAAAACCGTTCTTGTGCTGTGTCCCGGGCGGAACGATGTCAGTCATGTAGGTCGATTACCCGGTATATTATAGCGATATTGGGCTGGTGTGGTGACTCGCGGCTTCCTGGTCTTGGATGGTCATTTGTCGAATTGGAATACACAAAACGATCCCACAAACAAGTTATTGGCCTTGGATGAACGCCGAAGGTCCTCGCCACGTCATTCTTGATTCGCCAGCTTGTAATCGTCCAACGACAATATTTCTGTCGGCACCGTTGAGACGTCCAATTTTCTGATCCAGTATTTGAAGAGTCTTGGGTGAATTTGCGAGATGTATTTAGGTCTTTTATAGTCATAGGTTGTACTCATGCTTTGCACGTGAAAAGCTATAATCGCGAGTATAACGTGAACAAGAGTTCCTATGATGATACTAAGTGTTAATGAAAAGGTGGGCGTATCCTGCTCTACTGTAGGCACCCTTCATAAACACATGCAAAGGCAAGTCATGTTCAAACTCCTAAAAATTATTGTGCTTTTTCCTAAATCCTATATCTGTGTGAATCAAGAGAACCCCGAGGCTCCCCTCCTCCCAAAAATGAATGTTGAATAGTGAGAGAGTTGAATAAAGATATCGAAATAATATTATGAGGTTAGGCAATGATAGTATAGGATAAGTTTGTTTACGTTTTTATGTATTGATATAGGCCTGGTCTATACCGCAAAGACATTGTTATTATGGCAAGGAGCAGAAACTCACCCAGAAGAGACAGTTGATGACGAGGAAAAATGGCCGAAGGCATCCAGACACCGCCATGTTTAATATTCTTTTAAGAGCGAATGTCGATGTACCTGAACCCGATGACAAATAGTATCCCCAGATGTGCTACCAACTACATGATAGACATTCGCCCACTCGTAGGTATGTACTCGCTTCATAGGATTGTAGAGGTTATTATTGAAATATATTACGCAGTGGGTGCGTTGTGTTTGTTTTTTACCCCGCTGTATTGTCGTAGAACGCCAGTCAACAAAGCTATGACCACATGCCATACAGTGAATGTGAGGATTATATAATGTAGCAGAGCATAATACTTACTTCAAGCAAGAACTGTTCAGGCACACTTGACACTAGATTGTGGACACGTGAATGCACGGCGATAGTGACACTATATTGTGGACACATGAATGCACGGTGAAAGTGACACTAGATTGTGGACACATGAATGTACGGCGATAGTGACACTACATTGTGGACACATGAATGCACGGCGATAGTGACACTGGATTGTGGACACATGAATGCACCGCGATACTGACATTAGATTGAGGATACGTGTATGCACGGCGATAGTGAAACTACATTGTGGACACATGAATGTACGGCGATAGTGACACTACATTGTGGACACATGAATGCACGGTGATAGTGACACTGGATTGTGGACACATGAATGCACGGCGATAGTGACACTAGATTGAGGACACGTGAATGCACGGTGATAGTGACACTGGATTGTGGACACATGAATGCACGGCGATAGTGACACTAGATTGTGGACACATGAATGCACGGCGATAGTGACACTTTATTGTGGACACATGAATGCACGGCGATAGTGACACTATATTGTGGACACATGAATGCACCGCGATAGTGACATTAGATTGAGGATACGTGTATGCACGGCGATAGTGAAACTACATTGTGGACACATGCATGCACGGCGACAGTGAAACTAGATTGTGAACACATGAATGCACGGTGATAGTGAAACTAGATTGTGGACACATGAATGCACGGCGATACTGACACTAGATTGAGGACACATGAATGCATGGCGACAGTGACACTAGATTGAGGATACGTGTATGCACGGCGATAGTGAAACTATATTGTGGACACATGAATGCACGGCGATAGTGACACTAGATTGAGGATACGTGTATGCACGGCGATAGTGAAACTAGATTGTGGACACATGCATGCACGGCGACAGTGAAACTAGATTGTGGACACATGAATGCACGGCGATAGTGAAACTAGATTGTGGACACATGAATGCATGCGACTCTAAACAGACAACACATGTTCACATCAGTTTATTGATACCTAATTGACACACAGAGACCAGGAAAATACCTAAACAGTAAATAGTCATCAATAGCGGATAGCACTATTAAGGTGGTATCCATCTTATATTCATACGTAATAAATTATCACAGATAAGGACTAAATACATTTCCAAGGATCAGACAATAACAAGGGGAAGAGGAATTCCCATTAATATCCATCCCATTTGTATCATGTGTTTCTATTGCCTGTATTTGCTGACACATAACACTCTGCTTTAAAAGTCAGGAATAATGTTATCAGTAACCCCTGACAAATCTATATGTTCATCATTCTGTTGATTGCACTGTACTGTGAGCTGGCCGCTAAATATACTACCCATCAAAACTTTAGACTCACCTAAAGCACTCACTATATGTTATGTATATACATGTATATATATGGTTACCGAATGGAATATTTTGCAAAATCATGTTTAGAACAGTTGACTGAAGTAAGTGGCTACATTTACACTAGTGAGTCTAAACTTTTGATGGGTAGTATATATACTGTCTCGAATGTGATTTAGCGTCAGGACCAGTCAAACCACCTGTGTTCTTTCATTCACAGAGTATACGGAAATATCCCGAATACAGTGGCGATGTGTCTTTGAAGGCGTCCACTGCTATTGACGTCCTATACGTCAAACCCGCCTTACACTACGTCATGTTTGAAGTAAATAATTCAGAGTCAGCTAAATACGGATGTCGCTGATTATTCTGACCGAAATCGACGATGGCAGCCACCGCTTGTCTGGGTCTTTCAAGAAGGTCTTGTGTGACCACAACATGCCATTGTCTGGACACCGGTGCCTCCAGTAGCAATGTACACAATTGTCTGGTCGTCCGTATGGCCTTGTTACGAAATTTGTTGCCCTTGGGTTAGGTGTCCTGTTCATTTCTTTCAAATGTCTTCAGAATATTCTTCTTCACCGTGGAGAATGGATATGGAATACATCCTAATGGCCGGGTAATTGGCAGGACTATTGTGTGTAAATGCCGGTGATAAAACTGCTTTTCTCATTTCTCACGTCAGATATAATTTTTCTGGACTTCTCCAATGGTATTTGGGAAATTAGTGGACACATGTCGTTAAATGTGGGTAAAGGTCAAGGTCATATGTAATAACGTGTTCTCAAAATAATCCACTCATCATTAAATCTGATGCATGCCTACTTTTGGGCTGGGCTTGCTTTGTAAATGTTACACCTGTACAATCGACTTGGTAGTAGTTGCATCTCCTGCAGTTATCTTGATAAACGTCAAGGTCTGGAAGTAACGTCTGGCAGTGCATGGTTGAATGGGTGCAAATTAGGCGGATTTGAGTAAACCCAGTTTGAATTATATATCTGTGGTTGTTTCTATGACTTGTGATACATCCAGCTGTTACTCCGTGATGTAGCGGAAGTAACCTACTCATAAAGCGGCTTTAAACCGAACTAACACTCAGCGGACTTGATGCCCTTTTCGTGATAAATTCCTATCAAATATTTTGACTGTTCATAAATGTGTGCCTTTACCCTATTAGTAAATATCAGAAATATCCATTTAATATGTTAGGTTTATGGTATTATGTTGATGGAATGATTCAAAGCTAAACCAGGTGGTATATATTTGTATACCGAGATGGTGACAGGTACCCGATACCTCCATGCATTAGTTAATCATGTCTGGTGTAACATCACCTGAACCGGTTAAAACCGTATGTAGATAGAAGCGACAAAACCCTTCCCACATTCATAAGAAAATCTCTGCCAAACGCAGAGTCGACTGCAGATATTTGCCTCAGGAGTATTACACCTGTATGATGTTGTTTGTAAACAGATCGGGTCCTCTTTGAATACATCTGTCAGTGTTCACCAAGAGGTCAATACGGTACATTGATTATACAATTAAATGGCACAATTACAATCATATCTACTGAATCTGTCGTATAAACTAACAGCATAGAAACAGGAAAGTCTAGTAAAATTGACCATGCAAAAAGAATGTGTTCACTGTGTCAAAAAGCTATGGAAGACGAGGATTACTGTTAACATGTCCAGGTCTTTCATATCTAAGACACGTCATGTTATCTTAATATTTCTAGTAATATCCCCACGAAGCAAAGGTTATCTTACGTAACAAGCCACTTACGTTAAAGAAAGTTACATGTATGAGGGAAGGTTTTTGTATTTCTACATTTTTATACTGTTTATTTTTAAACGTGTATTTTGTAAATGTCTTTTCAAACATAAGCTTCATATAACAGCTGCATATTTGCTAGGTCGGTCTGTGGGAGTCACAAGAGGTACTCGGATGTTTCCGTGTTTGGTCTTGTATGGTTGGTATCAGGCAGCTCCATTCTTAAGTCCGATGCTTTATGGTAGCAGTACAGTAGCTTTCGACGAGAATTAGGGTAAATTGGCCGGACGATGTCCAGTCCAGAAACATTGACATTATGATACTTTAGATTGCGTCGTCAGGGGTATATGCTTTGAGTCAGTGAGTGAGTTGGGTTTAACGCTGCTGTGAACAGTATTATGGTTATGGTTAAACCCATCAGTTTGATGCTAACAACTTTAGAAACATGACTGGAACGAACTGGGATTCGAACCAGAAGTGAATTGCAGCGGCCAAGACGCCTTGATCCCCAGTGCCCCATATTTAGTGAGTCATACATTATATGCAGTCAGCAAAAACAAATCTCAACGCACATTCAGTGACAAAATAATTTATTCAAACCCATTTAAATTGTGGAAGAGTTTTTGATATTTCTCATTTGACATGGTTTTCAAAATGAGTTAAGTCAAATACAAATGGAATTACATTTATTGCTACAATTGACAATCTGCAAAACACAAACAACATCTAAATATAACACACAATAACAGATAAGGTTTACTATCACAAACATGAATGATTGTACAGCCAGCTCAAACTACGGTCTCAGTACAATGTCATTACAAAACAACAACATCCAAATCAACAGAGTTCAGGACAAGGGAGGTAATAACACCCAGCCAACAGCAGTCAGTGCAAGGGAGATAACCGTGGCGTAGTTACTGGTTCAGCTGTCTCGACAAACATTATTTCTCTTGAAAACAAATTTCGAAAATGAATAACGTGTAATGTAATATACAAAACCAAACAACAACACGACATTTGTAGAGCAAGTTAATTCCGTTACAACATATTCCACAAAATGTCATCAATAGTCTTACATATTCATTTCATGTGAAAACGCTGATCTCAGACAGATGTACCTTTATCGTATGAATTACATCACAAAAAGAAAATATTGTTATTTTTTAAAGAAACATAGGTGATTTCATGCTTTTTTACATTTATGCAAGTTTTCTCTTCGAATGCAGACACGAACAAATATGAAAGATAATATCAAAGTGAGAATGTTTGCATCGAACCCAGCTATGGCTTGTTGAGTGATCACTGGCACCAGTGAGCTGCCTCATCCATACTGCGCGTGTTACTAGGGATGGAATATGGAGGCAGAAAACTGACGAGGCCACGCCCATACAAGTCATGCTCGGCCATGACCCCGTACAAACAGCCTCATTATCAAGACATCTTCTCCACGGTCTCCCTTCATCGAAAGATATACAAATATATAAATATCGAAAATATATACACCAAGGGACGGATATATCGTAATGGATATTTGGTTACAACGCGTCAGTACTATGAGACGGCCGAAAATCAGTTGTAAAGAAACCATCTTTCTTCAGTACAAGGTCCTTTATGCCTCAATAAAGTATCACTATATATGGAGGGATTATACAAATACACATGTAAATTGTTGCTAGACAGCCGAAAAGCTTTGGCACAATAATTAAAAATCTTCTGTGTAAAATATAACACAAAAAACAGATTCAAGTAAAACGAACGAAAACATAAACTAAGAACGTATAAACTAACAAAGCCCAATGTTAAACTGAGGATATATAAATCATATACATACACGGTAAGAGGTGTTTACTGAACTTACAACAAAACACCCAACAACTGTTTCAGGCACAACTGGTATACGTCAGCCCTTTGTCTATCTGCTGCACCACGCCACCCCAGCCTCACCCCACCCCCACCCCACCCACCCCAACCCCACACCAACAACCCCAACTACACCCACGCCCTTCCTTCATCCCAACATCTCCCAACCATATCTTCAAAATTATAAATTATGGACGGATGTGACTGGTTCGTCATGTCAATCAACGACTAAAAGTCAACGTTACTCCTATGTCAATATTGTGTACTGTTCTGTGTATCGTAGAGCATATATATTTACATCAACTCCAAAAATATACCATCGTGATAACTATCTAAGTGATAGACTTTTCCCCCTCCCTAACTTACATTTTTCCAGGAAATATTATATATCGACAACTGATGTGTTCTTTGTCGGGTTTTTGCTGCTAGTACCTGCGACTACCACCCCTGTGCCCAGCATGTCTACCCCCGTTGTGACGGGCGTCCCACGCTTGGCCTTTGTAAGAAGGCGTGGTCGACACCTTGCGGGATTTCTTGACCTTTGACACAATCACTGCAGCCAGGATCAGGCTCACGATCTGAAACATAGAAGAAAGAAATATTGGGCGTTTCTTCGAAGGAATCAGCTATTACCTTCAGGATATAAGTATGTTCCCTCTAAGTTGATGTGATTTACTGACTATGGAGAAAGAGTTCTAAATTTGTAAAATATGTAGGCCACGCCCACATTCAAACAACTTCGTCCTAATGCTATCCCGTGCCTTTTCACATGCAAACAGGGCAGGTCAATAGTAATTTTAATGAGGTCTTGTATACCGTCCTTTCAATGACAAACTGGTGGTAACCTTGAAATATCTTGGAACATTTTTTGCGTTGATATTTTCCGAAGAAAATGACAACATTATGATGTCTCGGACCTATTCGATTCACCAAACAATACTTTCTGAGATATTTTCTCTGCCAAAGTATCTATGTATAAACAATACAGATCACTCACATGCAATGTAGTCTGTGCTTCTGTTTCTTTCATAAATGTGCATTAGGAATCGTGTCAATGTATTGTTCTGTTTATAATCGAGCATAGTTTACCAGAAACAGTGTACACCTAGTCGAGTGGATCACCATCTCCCAGCTACCACGGAACATATCTGCACAAGCACCACACCACCCAGTGTCCCCGCCCATATCAGTCAGATCACAATCTCCCAGCTACCACAGAACATACCTGCACACGTACAACAGCGCCTAGTGTCCCCGCCAATATCGACCAGATCACTGATCCCCAGTTACCCCATATTTAGTGAGTCATTATATACATTAAATGCAGTCAGCAAAAACAAATCTCAACGCACATTCAGTGACAAAATGATTCATTCAAACCCATTTAAATTGTGGAAGAGTTGTTGATATTTCTCATTTGACATGGTTTTCAAAATGAGTTCAAGTCAAATACAAATGGAATTACAATTATTGTTACAATTGACAATCTGCAAAACACAAACAACATCTAAATATAACACACAATAACAGATAAGGTTAACTATCACAAACATGAATGATTGTACAGCCAGCTCAAACTACCGTCTCAGTACAATGTCATTACAACACAACAACGTCCAAATCAACAGAGTTCAGGATAAGCGAGGTAATAACACCCAGCCAACAGCAGTCAGTGCAAGGGAGATAACCGTGGCGTAGTTACTGGTTCAGCTGTCACGACAAACATTATTTCTCTTGAGTACAAATTTCGATAATGAATTACGTGTAATGTAATATACAAAACCAAACAACAATACGACATTTTTAAAGCAAGTTAATTCCGTTACATCATATTCCACAAAATGTCATCAATAGTCTTATATATTCATGTCATGTGAAAACGCTGATCTCAGACAGATGTACCTTTCTCGTATGAATTACATCACAAAAAGAAAATATTGTTATTTTTTAAAGAAACATAGGTGATTTCATGCTTTTTTACATTTATGCAAGTTTTCTCTTCGAATGCAGACACAAACAAATATGAAAGTTAATATTAAAGTGAGAATGTTTGCATCGAACCCAGCTATGGCTTGTTGAGTGACCACTGTCACCAGTGAGCTATCCATACTGCGTGTGTGACTAGGGATGGAATATGGAGGTAGAAAGCTGACGAGGCCACGCCCATACAACTCATGCTCCGCCATGACCCCGTACAAACAGCCTCATTATCAAGACATCTTCTCCACGGTCTCCCTTCATCGAAAGATATACAAATATATAAATATCGAAAATATATACACCAAGGGACGGATATATCGTAATGGATATTTGGTTACAACGCGTCAGTACTATGAGATGGCCGAAAATCAGTTGTAAAGAAACCATCTTTCATCAGTACAAGGTCCTTTATGCCTCAATAAAGTATCACTATTTATGGAGGGATTTTACAAAATACACATGTAAATTGTCGCTAGACAGCCGAAAAGCTTTGGCACAATAATTAAAAATCTTCTGTGGAAAATATAACACAACAAACAAATTTCAAGTAAAACAAACGAAAACATAAACTTAGAACGTATAAACTAACAAAGCCCAATGTTAAACTGAGGATATATAAATCACATACATACACGGTAAGAGGTGTTTACTGAACTTACAACAAAACACCCAACAACTGTTTCAGGCACAACTGGTATACGTCCCAGCCCTGTGTCTATCTACTACCACCACGCCACCCCAGCCTCACCCCCACACCCACCCCAAACAGCCTACAAGCACCCGCACCCTTCCCGCCCATGTGTCCCCGCCCATATCGACCAGATCAACCATCTCCCTCTAACTTACATTTTTCCAAGATACCACAGAACATACCTGCACACGCACCACACCGCCCAGTGTCCCCTTGCCCATACCGACCAGATCACCATCTCCTAAGCTTATACAGAACATACCTGCACAAACACCACACCGCCCAGTGTCCCCGCCCATACCGACCAGATCACCATCTCCCAGCTTATACAGAACATACCTGCACAAGCACCACAGCGCCCAGTGTCCCCGCCCATATCGACCAGATCACCATCTCCCAGCTTATACAGAACATACCTGCACAAGCACCACAGCGCCCAGTGTCCCCGCCCATACCGACCAGATCACCATCTCCCATAGCTACCACAGAACATACCTGCACAAGCACCACAGCGCCCAGTGTCCCCGCCCATACCGACCAGATCACCATCTCCCAGCTTATACAGAACATAACTGCACAAGCACCACACCGCCCAGTGTCCCCGCCCATACCGACCAGATCACCATCTCCTAGCTTATACAGAACATACCTGCACAAGCACCACAGCGCCCAGTGTCCCCGCCCATACCGACCAGATCACCATCTCCCAGCTTATACAGAACATACCTGCACAAGCACCACAGCGCCCAGTGTCCCCGCCCATACCGACCAGATCACCATCTCCCAAGCTTATACAGAACATACCTGCACAAGCACCACAGCGCCCAGTGTCCCCGCCCATACCGACCAGATCACCATCTCCCAGCTTATACAGAACATAACTGCACAAGCACCACAGCGCCCAGTGTCCCCGCCCATACCGACCAGATCACCATCTCCCAGCTTATACAGAACATACCTGCACAAGCACCACAGCGCCCAGTGTCCCCGCCCATATCGACCAGATCACCATCTCCCAGCTTATACAGAACATACCTGCACAAGCACCACAGCGCCCAGTGTCCCCGCCCATATCGGCAAGTTGCCGTCCAGCCATTCGTTGATCTTAGCCCAACATACAGCCTGGAACAGGAGGCCAACAGTTTTATAGGAAAACTTCAGATGAGATATATGGAAGAACAACTTATTAATAACAAATTAAAGCGACGGTTTTAACACTGCTATCGAGTAAGTGGTTTACAGAATTTAGCGAGGAGCACACATACAAATATTTAAGGTAGATTTTATACAACTGAATAGATATGTAACGGAGAACATGACATTACAACCACGTTACCTCCCACGATCTAGGAACAGGGAGTGGGTATCGTCCACCGTGTTACGTGAGAAACAGGAGACAGCGACATCACGCAGCCATGCATGAAGCTACATCCCCCAATTCCTGTACACCAGGATTAATCAAATAATATTTTTGCATACAAAGATACAGTAACCGTTAGTAACTAAAGCCGGAAACAAGTATGGCCTTGACATTTGGAGTGAGGTGGAGATATAACCCAGACGTACATTGTGTTGATTGGCAACGGTTTTGGTAGAAGGGTCTGAGAAGCAGCTGTCGGGGTAATCGGCCACGGTGGCGCCGTACTCTGTCGCGCTGTTGAAGCCGCAGCACTTCAACTGGAAAACACATACTAACATACAGCTGCTATAAACATATATATGACGCTTGGGTTTAACCTTTCAAACAGCCTTGCTTATTGCATATACATAAATATCTTAATATTGTTACCTTGGCTGACATCATTTTGTTATTGTATATGAATAAAATAGTTTACGTTTCATTATGTATTCAGTTCTGAAAGATTGTTTATTCAAATATCCAATCAACATTTCATATAATGAAATAACACTTTGTATTTGTGTAGCTATTTTCAGTTTGCCACAAAAACTAGATGTATATGATTACACAATGCCATTTAGACAGTGGTCACATGTAACACATGTTATATTTAGGTGCCTGACTCTGAGGATGTGGGTTCGAATCCCGGATGGGACTGAACCCAACAAAAGTACTTCTAGAATATGTACTTTACTAAGAAAGTTTAACCGCAAATATAACATATATTATGGATGTATATGCCGTTTCCTTGTCCAGCAACACGGACATTCCGGAAGAGGAACAGGTGCCCTGTGGTCGCTAGAGGCGACGTTATGGGTCGGGAGGTCGGGTTCAGTGTGTCATTGGACTCCGACTGGATGGCCCGTTGCTCATGATAATATTATCAATCTGTTTATATACATGCCACGGCAAGTTTTACAAAGTTTTACAAAGTTGACATTTTCGCTCACGCTGCACCGGACATGAATATCTCAACCTGGCAGGTCTCTTGAAGATATGAGGATGTTATCTGCCAAGAAAAGACCAACATCTTCCAAACATTATAACAGTAGAGCAGGCCGTACCTCCTTCTGCAGGAAGTTCTTGGTGTCTGTGTTGAAGTCGGCCCACCCGGAATCCCGGTACACTTGTAACTGAAACATCAAGGAAGAAGGATGAATACTTATGTGTCCTTCTCGACATGCAGCTGTGTATTCTTGCAGCTGTTGTTTATCAGATACATACAAATGTACATTTAAACACCTTGCAACAATAACTGCCCGGCCTTGATAGCCATAGCAATCGTGGATCTGATGATGATTTACCAGTACATGTGCCTGTTTCTGGCGACGAAGTAGCATGTTTTCATGTGTAAAGTTTCTCATTGAACAACATTTTGAAGCCGTGACAGCTTTACCGATAACACAAGACGACAAAGCTCTTAGAACGTGCCCGAGCTGTTGAGGATGCAGACTTATAATTGCTAGAATGATGATACACACACATAGACGTGACAGTCTGATGTATAGCGATTGGTGTAGTAGTAACTCAACTGGAAGATATCATCAAATGTTGACTGACTGACTGAGTATGGTTTTACGCCGTGTTTAGCAATATTCCAGCAATATCACGGCGGGAAACACCAGAAATGGGCTTCACAAATTGTACCCATGTGGGGAATTGAACCCGGGCCTTCGGCGTGAGGAGCGAACGCTTTAACCACTAGGCTACCCCTCCGCCCCATCAAATGTTGCCACACCTACCTGTTCCCTCATCATGTAGGCCGTCACGACACCGGCTATCTCAATCAGGAAGATGATGACGGTGAAGACAAAAAACTGCAAACAGAACCACGAGAAATGTATTTCAGTTTAATGACTTTATGGCAGATCAATTAAGCTTCATTTATAGCGAGATACGTCGAAAGATGGATTTCTCCCAAGTTAATCCTGTTCATGTAAACTTTGGTATCAGAGAACCATTCTTGATAAAACTGATTTGTCAAGGAATTCATTACGTATGAGAAGATGCTGAGTTTTAGGCCAAAACATGCTGTCACTCAAATCTATCCCTGAGAATCCATGCAGGACGGTAAAGTGAGCGAGTTTAGGTTTACGCTGCTTTTAGCAATATTCCAGCAATATCACGGCGGGGGACTTCAGAAATGGGCTCCGAAGCTAAATCTTCAGCGGGGCGAACGAACGCTTTAACCATAAGGCTACCCAGGATGGTAAAGACTGCGGTAGTTTGGTGCCCAATCTGACAGGAAGGTTTGTTGCATTTTCATAGGTTCACGACTCCAGCACGGAATTTCATATTCATACTTGAATCTATCCCTGTATTTGGTTTTCGTAAATGAAACGAGGGGTAGATGACTTCCCATAATCCATAAAGGCAGTCGGTGTAAATAACCGATGTTTTACAGTCGTTCACTGACCACTAGTGTCCGGACCAATGAGGGTGGATGTTGTATACAAGTATGTATATGTCACTAGTGAGTGCTTATGATTTTACTCCGCCTTTAACAATATTTCAGCAATATGAAGTCTGGGGACATAAGAAATGGGCTGCAGACATTGTACCCGTGTGGAGAATCGAACCCGGACCTTCAACCACTACGGTCTGCTTGAGACATATAGTTGTAGGTCCAGATATCAGTAAATTACACTAAAAATAAGAACAAATTTGAAATTCTTCAGGCATTCTTCCCAGAACTAGACAGCTATGAAGGAGTTACATTGTTCATATTATTTTCTCGATTGATAAATACTTATATGGGTTCAGTGTATTGGATTCGTTTGAAACCGTCTAGAACATTTGTTATGAGTATGCCTTATATGTCATTGCATGTATTCGAACACCACGCATCACCCATTACTACTGTATCACAGACATGAGTACTGTTACATAAAGGCGTTATCACAAAGCGGTCTTCATAAAGAAACATGTTCATCGGTATTTCTTTTTACTTCAGACTTTAATTCTAAATGTATGTCCTACGGGACAGAGCATGTGAAACGGGCACAGTGCATTGAACAGTACGTGGAAACTGATATAGCACAATAAGACTATAATAGCATGAAGTCCGGGTACATGAGCCGGTCTGCCGTGAACCCCTGTAGACGTACCGTCTTCAGGAGGCATGTCCCTTCTTTCAGTCCGCCGATGCATCCAAACAGACCTGCAAACAAAGACAGAAACATGAACATCATATATGTTCACGGGATGAATAATTTAGCAGTCCTATTTTGCTGACAGGCGGCATCTGTGACCTGTGTCGGCACCAGTATCCGATATCCAGGAGATAATAGTGGGAAAGGAGACTAAATGGCATCGTGCAATGACCCTAAGAATACACATCTCCAAGAGACGTTATACGGCTCTTTATAGTGCCAATACTGCGTACATCCCGAGAAATCTAGTAGCTCCCGATGTGTGTCAGCTTCATTCATTTTCAACGTGTGTAAATGTTGTAATATAACGAATAAATGGTCTTACCTGCCAACACGATGAGAATGCCTGCCCCCAAAATAGAGTAGGTAAAGTACTGAAATTGAATTTACAATTATCTATGAATTAAAAAATCTATACGGAAAAGAACTAATGTATGGAAGCAAGTTAATGTCACAGACCGTAGATGATGTTCACATCTACGTCACTGATGCTGTACTATTACGCAGATGATCTTCATGTCTACGTAGATGATGTTCAAATCTACGTCACTAATTCTATACCATTACGCAGATGATCTTCATGTCTACGTAGATGATGTTAACATCTACGTCACTGATGCTATACCATTACGTAGATGATGTTCATTTCTACGTCGATGATGTTAACATCTACGTCACTGATGCTATACTATTACGTAGATGATGTTCATGTCTACGTAGATGATGTTCACATCTACGTCACTGATGCTATACCATTACGTAGATGATCTTCATGTCTACGTAGATGATGTTCACATCTACGTCACTGATGCTATACTATTACGTAGATGATCTTCATGTCTACGTAGATGATGTTCACATCTACGTCACTGATGCTATACTATTACGCAGATGATCTTCATGTCTACGTAGATGATCTACAGGCAGTATGGTGTGAAGTATGAATTTGTCATACAAATATTCAAGTAAATTTATACCAACACACGACAACCAGTTTACCTTCGCATATTCAGCTCACGGTTAGAGGGATGTTTATCCTGTGAAGTGAACTTTGCTTCATTAAAGTGTTGTGGGAAGTAGTATGTGTAACACAGAACGCATACGTCATTGCAGTCAGTTACAAACAAGGGATACTACTCTGAGTTTGGTTTCTTATCGTATGCATGCAGCAAAACGAAGAAGGAACACCCGCGAAGGCATATCAGTCAACGAACACGATATATCGGCAAGTGCAAACGTTAAGTGACCCAGCACACCGTATGCATGGAAACTGCATGAACACACTCGCGGCTCTTTGACACCCGTGAATGCCACTTGAATATGACACCCTGTTTCAGAAATAAAGAAAGGGGTATTGTTGTGTTAAGTATTGTTGTGATAAGTAGAATTACCCCCCTCGTTTACAAACAACCTCCCACCGAGGCGCGGTACCATCTGAGGACAACGTGTGTTTGGTTGTGCTTTATCCTGGTTGTCGAGACTCATTGTAACAGTAACATTACCCATAAATACATGTACAGCTTCTTTGACTGATGAAAAGTTTAAAGGCAGGATGGTCGTACATACATCATGCAAACATATATTCCTTACATATCTACTTTCACTTAGCAAATTGTATACATGGTAAAAACATAATACCCAATGCAATAATAATGATGGTGTGTGAATGAGTGGGGTTTAGTTTTACCCCACGTTAAGCAATATTCCAGCAATATATCGACGGGGGACATTAGATATGGGCTTCACACATTGTACCCACAATGTTGTGATAAGTGCATGTATAAAAATATAAGAATATGTGACGAAGTTATCAACGGAGTGACATAATATGTCATCCAATTACCAAGAATTGTATATAAACTACCAAAGGGATTGGCTAAAGAAGATATGTACTTGCACATTGGAGTTGACTCAATGTTTACAGACAGGAACACGTGAAAACCCAGTGCCTCACTCACCCGAGAGCCGGAAATGAAGCCGCTAACCAGTGTTGGGTTGGTGGCCATTGTCCAGGCAATGAAACCCACGAGGAACAACCCCATCAGCTGAAAGAAGAAGGGGGCAAACATTGCAGGAATTACTTAAAACGGCATGATATCAGCTGAAAGAAGAAGAGGGCATACATTGCAGGAATTACTTAAAACGTCATGATATAAGCTGAAAGACGTGGGCATACATTGCAGGAATTACTTAAAACGTCATGATATAAGCTGAAAGAAGAAGAGGGCATACATTGCAGGAATTACTTTATTGGTATGATTAAAGCAACCACTTGATGGTATTTCCGTTTTGGTTTTTGGATTGTTTACAATGTGTATTTTTTATAACAAAACGCACTTGCAAATTACACATTTTACTTTAGACGTATATTGAAAAATAACTCACAGCCTCAGCAATTTACCATGAATTATACAGGACATGCTGTTAACAACTCACTGAGTGAATGAGTGAGTGAGTGTCTATTGCCAAACAACGAATTGATGAAGCTTCATTTATGAGAAAATGCTAATATTTTCTGTGTTGGAGTGCACATTTTTAACAAGTTGATAACAACGTGGTAATTTACTTCTTTTCCTATTTTACTAACTTGCAGTGATGTTTCGTTGATGACATCACAAGTGATATGATGTCAGGCAACACGATAACTAAGAACTGACTCCAATATTTGGGGGTCAATGAAGGCACTAAGGCACTAAAACATTTCATGTTACTTGGAAAGGATACTGTCAATTGCCATGCCATCGTGATAAACAAACAGCAGTATACGTTAACCAATGGCACTCCACGACAAACAGTACTAGAATCTGTACTTAACGAGAAAGTGTAACCCCAAATGTAACGTACAGGGGAAATGTTACATTTTCTGATCAGTAAATTCGACAGCAGCATGCTGCAACCAGCTGATTGACATGGTAACAAGTTAGTTATGACTACATGAAGGGTAAATTATTTCGGGTCAATTTCTTACATTCACGGAATGTTTGAAAGTTCTATGATAAGAAGTTCTATGGCGACCCAAACACTTTATTATATACTGAACATCATTGAAAACGCACCACTGATAAATGTTCAGATTATTAAAAATACGTGTAAGGAATTGATATTTTTTGAGTGGATAATAACAGATGGACGACTGACAAAAACAACAACACAGTCGCTCATTCATTGAAATGTTCCACAGTCAGAAAGGATCAAATAATCAGTCTCGAATGACTCCTGAAACAGAGTCCATAGGCGTGGAAGACAAAGCAGCGGTGAGAAGATTTGACAGGTGGGGTCAAATCGAAAAGTCAATATCGCTTGTGACCGCCATTTGCATTGACACATGCAGTTCAACGTCTCCTCATTGATTCAATAAGCGTCCGAATAGAGTTCTTGAGGATGGCATACCACTTCTGCAGTAGTGCAGCCTCAAGTTCCCGGATGTTTCGCGTCTTTGACTTTGACCAATTTCGTCCTACAAGTGCTCCATGGGGGATACATCTGGCGACTGTGCTGGCCAATGAATAACCTGGATGTGTTGCTGAGCCAGATACTGCATAGAAAGTCTTGTTGTGTGTGCCCGTGCGTTGTCCTGTTGAAAAGTATGGACATCTTGGTGGTGATTGAAGACAGATACGATGTGATTTTGAAGAATCTGCTCACGGTAATAAAGGACATTAACTCTCTCTTGACAGACATGAAGGCAGTCCTGAGATTGTAATTTATTCCACCCCAGACTCACCACCCAACGGTCTGTCTGAACCACACTCTCATCAGCATAACGTTCACCACGTCTACGCCAAACACGTAATCGGCCGTCAGCATTACGTAGGTGAAACGTGACTCGTCAGTGACTACCACACCATGGCATTGTCGTAACCTTTACTGAAAATGCCTGCTAGCCCATTGTATACGCTCATTACGGCGGTGTCTGTCAGTCAGAATTGGTCCAACGTAAGGACGTCGAGCATGGAGCCCTGTAGCGTGTAGACGGCGTCGCATGGAGTCAGCGCTGATGACCCCCACGTCAGCCTTGAACTAGTGCAGCAGTCCTGGCAGTCGGCAGTGTTCAATCACTGACATGGACAAGGTCAATATGGCAATCCCGATGGAGCGTCGTAACACGTTGTTGCCAAGGTCATTGAAGGTCACGGGTTCTGCCTGTCTACTGATGTCGTCTATGAAGCCTAACGATGGTGGAGTGGCCAAGTCCAAGTTGTAGAGCACTATCCCTGCTGCTGGTGCGAACCTGAATCATGCCTCGTGCACGTTCTCTTTCGTGGGGTGTTAACCTCGGCATATCTGTCCTCGTGTTACAATCGTTAGTGAAGCAATGAGAATCGGTTCTCATACATCTGCTTTAATGTCACAGTCAGTATGATTTCAGAATGAAATTTGCGCTTTTTTTCATGGCGTGACTGCATGTTGATGCATTTTGGAATTAAAAGTCATACTGTGGACAGGAATTTGTTTCTAAAGCATTTTTTCAACTGGACATGCCCTTCGACTTCATGTTAGTTATATCCATTGATCAGTGTCATGCTGAAATCCATCTTGATGAAAATATGGACAATTTTAGACTGGTGTGTTTTCAATGATGTTCAGTACACGTATATTTAACGTCAACGGCATGGTATAATCAGCCTCGAATGACTCCTGAATCAGATTCCATAGGCGTGGAAGACACAGCAGCGGTGAAAAGATTATTATAAGAATTAATGTGTTAAATCCATGATGACACCAGGTGTTCTGGTTAAGGGTAAGCATGTCCTGTTGTATCGCCAGCACCAACTACTCTCATTGCATTGAAGTGTAATATATCGTAGGAATTTTAACAGCAGCAATCCTGTCATACCGGTCTGTAAACATCAGTCAGGATCGGACATTCTCGAGACAGGATATTAGCATGATTGACTAAAAACAAAATGGTACGTTTGAAGAACTTCTGCCGTGACACAATTGCAGATATTCTGCCGCTTATACAATGAGAAATAGGTTTTAAAATTTTTACATATGACGATTACAAATATTTTCTTCCTATGTATTTATTGGTGACATTTAGCTTCAACCTACACGTTAGGTCTTATACCTATCTGGTTACACTTCATTACTGATATCAGAATTGGGTGGTGGTTGTGTATCGCTGCACGTCAGGCGCTGATGTCAACAGGACACGCCTGTAGCCTATATCAATTCTTGGGTATACAATCCAACTGACACACACGTCATTGCAACATTGTATTGGGGTGTGAATATGTTGGGAACTGGTACGAGTCACACTGCTGTTTTGTTCTATGTTCCATTTGACCTCGGGCTATGAGATACGGCAAGAAATATGAGACGAACTCGTGAGTTAGTAAATCTGAGTTTCAAAATAGCAATCTCAAATACGCACGCACTGAAGAACACAACTTCCTCATTGAACTTTAGGGACATGGGGCAACGTATGTTTAACATTCTGGAATGGATGGCAGAGTGGGCGTGTTGTGAAAAATAATCCGTGAAAAAATAAATCTCGGTTGTCTTTTTATACAGGTTTGTCAATGCTCAAAACACGCATTTTGTTCTGTGAAACATCATAATACACATTTCAAAACATACTTTGCAGGATTAAAACGGAGAGCAATTATTTTCATTTTTAATATATCAAATAAAATGTAAATAAAACAGTAAATACTGAAAACAACCAATCGCACTTTCAAACTTCAGGGGCATATTCACCAAGCAAACAATAACATTGGCCTCATAATTGGATATGCATTGTGACGCAAGCAGACTTTTGATTGTTACAATTGGATAGGCACATGCACACGTTGATGAACCTCTTTTTCACATATTTTGCATTTCATTAAACCTACACTGACCCCTAGCTCAGCTGGTTCATGCACTATCATATTACCCGCCCGATCATATTTGCCGATTTAATCCAGGTCTGACGCAGCAGTCAGAATTGAGGTAGTAACAGCAACAGCATGGCGGACATTTCCAAAAAATGCAATGTTGAAAACAGACCGACACGCAAAAGAAAGCCCCCAAATCGTTTTCATGTTAAGGATGCCTCTATTAAACCTCGCAATGGCTTTGGGTTTCAGTTAATACGACTTTCCCCTTTACCGCTACACTTTCAATAATGCCAAGGTTTCCTAGGTGATTAAACGCTAATTATAATCACAGGCAAGTAATTAGCGATCACAAGACCCACGGGGATGGACAGTGAAGATTTACCGACACGTGAGCCCTTGTTGTATACAGGATGACGTGACACGGATAGATACAGATTCATACAACATATTGGAGATTCATTCCCACTCGAGAGTGTCATGTCGGATTCTTCTTTTTTCGTTGTCGGAAATGTAATCGTTAGATCAGATATCTGTATTAACAGACGGGAAATGACATCATTAACAATAGATGAAGCCTTTGTCGTCGGCGTTTTCTGAATGTTGCCCCAAACAATAACAATAAATAGGGACCAAAGAAATCAATAGCATTTTGTGATCGATAACGCTGATTGACAGATCGATCCCCAAAGTATCACGGTGTGAGCCACCGAATTCCAGTGGGGATTAGATGGAGAACTTTGTCGGGCCTTCTTGCAAGCAAGTAAGCAAGGGAACTAACATGGGTCATATACTACCAATATACTAAGAAAGTCACAATAACGTGAAATCTTGCGTTCAATAAGCAGTATCTTACAGGTGTATAACGTTGATATGTACAGGTGTTTACTTCTGTTTTTAACGTTGATGTGCATACTAGTGTGACATTGATGTGTCATGTATGTTGTAAAAGTTGATATGTACACGTGTTTGTGACATTGATGTGTACTGTATGTTGTCAACGTTTATTATGTACACGTGTGTGTGACATTGATGTGTCCTGTATGTTGTCAACGTTGATTATGTACACGTGTGTGTGACATTGATGTGTCCTGTATGTTGTAAAAGTTGATATGTACACGTGTTTGTGACATTGATGTGTACTGTATGTTGTCAACGTTTATTATGTACACGTGTGTGTGACATTGATGTGTACTGTATGTTGTAAACGTTGATTATGTAAA